TATATATAATATAAATATTATATATATTTTAAAATATATTATGTACCTATATTTATGATAAAATATTTTTGTATCATGATTTATACATACCTTCCTATCTCAGAAACAGGTAACCAATATGAAGGTATAATTTGATTTTTATAATTTTGTCTTTGCGCATTAATTATTGACAAAGCCACTTCTTGCGGTAAAAGTTCTCGTACTAACCATGGAAGCCTATATCGGTAAGTAAAATAAAATTTAATATTATTACTTATTTTGTTACAGATAACGGCCACAAACATCTTATTAATTAATTACTGTTAATTAACGACATATAAAAAGCACTTATTACAATTTTTTTTTATTATTACACTTATTACAATAAAGATTTATTAAAATAAAAATTTGTTTTCGTCATATATGTACATATGTAAAAATGTATAAAAGGAATGGATTGCGCACGTGTGTGTGTGTGTGTGTGTGTGTGTGTGTGTGTGTGTGTGTGTGTGTGTGTGTGTGTGTGTGTGTGAGTGATACAAGGCACATGATACGAATGATGTAAAAAATTGTTTACAATAGTATATTGTTATAAAATATTACCTAAGACGTATGTTTTTAGCAAATCCGGTACGTACGAAGAACGGATAAACGGTTGTAAATTTAATCGATGATTTTCCGTTACTCAATATATGTAATTCTTTCGATAAAGCGTCCATAAGTGCTGTTGATATAATCAATATATTAGAAAAGCATACTTTTTTTTTATTTTTGCATACATATTATGTGTCAATTATATGTGTATAGTACATATATATGTATTTATATACATAAGTATTAGTTATATATACATATATGTATATTCTATCTATTGTACAATTTAAGTACTATTGTACAATCATTGTATGACTAACAAACTTGTTCCAGAAGTAGTTATGTTATATGAATAGCTACTGAATTATTTCAATAAATAAAGCGGTATCAAGGTATGTATCTAGGGTGTTCGGAAATTCAACCGACAAACTTTCAGAGATTGTCGGGGGTATCAAAAGGATCATTTTTTGCAAATGGATCCAGAGTCGGAAGCGTGTCGTTATATCGCTACGGCAGACAGCGTTCGAAAAAGGTCAGACCTCGAAATATCTCAAAAAATATAAGTTTAATCAAAAATAGTTTCAGACAAAAGTTGTAGGGTGTAAAAAGATTTATTAACTAACCTTATGTGTTTGACCTTGGGTGAAACTCATAAGCAAAGTAAGTTTGGCACTCAGTAAGAAAGGAAGAAAATCAGAAATAAAATACTTTATTGTTTCCTCAATGATGACTTTAATCTAATACGCGTTTTCACAACAGTACACAACAGTACTGTTTGGAGTACATAAAACTGAAGTCCGCAAATAAATAGAGGTTTTTTTTGTGCTTTTTTTCGTACACTCTGTCTGCCGTAGCGATGTAACAATACGCTTCCATTTGCAAAAAAATGATCCTTTTGGTGCTCCCAACAATCTCTGAAAGTCGGTTGAATTTCTGAAGACTCTCTCCCTCTCTCTCCATCCTATAATCATTCATTAAGGAATGAATTACCTTGAACTGCAGATTTTGTAGGGCAGTAAACTGTCCCACCACATAAACCAAAAAATGCTGCTATAGATGAAACCGCCACAATATGACCGTGATTCTTTTCGATCATACTAGGTAAGAATGCTTTCAATGTCTGAAAGTAATATTACTTTGTAAATAGTAATTTTCGGAAGCTTGTAGCTGCAGCACAGACTTTTGCATAACGCACATAACGCATAGTATAATCGAATCGACTAATCAAAATCTTTCCTTTTTTGCCATTCCATGGAAAAGAAGAATTTCGATTGGTTGATTCTTTTATGCACTGTGCGTTATGTAAGAGTCTGTGCTGCGGCCATTAATCATATACCGATCTAAATCATTTAGTTACAACACACTTTATTTACAAATATACCAAGCTGATGCAATATATCCGTTTCCCAAAATAAAGTCAATTATATTAATAGTTACTTCTTATGTCTTGTAACTTTTATATCTCTTGATATATTATATACTTGCCCAATAATGTGCTGTCAAGTTGACGTCTACGACACTTGTAATTTCATCAGGACTTTGATTCAGAAAAGGTTTAAAAAATACTACGCCGGCATTGTTAATTAAGATAGTTACGTTGCCTACTTCTTCTTTTACTTTTTTGGCTACTCTGAAAACTTCTTTTTTATCTGCTACATCACATCTGTAAAACACGTAGATTTTAATTAGAATTGATAATTTAATAGGCGTTTACATTATGACCTAGTTTGTATTTGATGGAGCATTGTCATTGTATAAATTTACCGATACGCATACACAGAATCGTTTCCTTTTTTTTTAATATCGTTCATTGTTTTATTGTTATTTTCTTCATTGATATCCCAACATATCACTGTTGCTCCTAACGAAGCATAACCGATCGCTAATTCCTTTCCGATACCATGACCTGCACCCGTTATCTATGATAATATATAAATACAATTTAAACTATAATTATTACATATTACAACTTTTTGTTTAAAATAGCATAATTTCAAATTTTTATCTATAAATGAAATAATAAACTTTTTGTTTAATAAAATACGTATTTTATTAGACAAATATAAATAAAAATAAATGTATTAAATAGAGCGTCTCAGTTTAAAGTCTAGAATACAAATTTTTCTATCTATGTTTACGACATTTTTTGAAATAATACTTATTATTTATAGTAATGAAAAAAGATAGATGAGATAAATGTGAAAACATTTGTTAAAAAAAATATTAATTTGTTAATTGGAATTCAATTTTGGAAAAAATTTTAGAAAAAAATCACAGAGCTTAGGTAAGTCACATAGGATATACGTATATACTTTTTTTTATAAAATGTGTATATATATTAAGATTTTTATACGTACCAAAACGATTTCATTAGCTACGCTCTTTTTCTTTATTGGTCTTATTAATCTGTATATATCGTTGATAACATAATATAGAACTTTAAGTATAAGCAATAAAATCTCTGTTAAGAACAAGATATATTTTACCACGGCCATGATTGCCTAAAAAATTAACAATTTTTTAAAATAAGAACATCTAGTATCGGTTGAAAATATGTGTTAATTTTATTTTTTATTAAACTTTATATTGTTATACGATTATGTGTATATATTTTGTAATTGTGACGTTGTTGTATAATTAAATGATTATATAGCTTTGTTTTTCAGTTTATTACTAATGTCAACATTGCGTAAGAAATAGAATGTTATAAAAAAGATATTAGACCATAGAGGATGTTTAAAAGAAATATTCAACATTTATATAACACATACCTAATAATATATAGCACATACTAACAATAAGGAAAAAAATCTTAAAGCTCGAAAACCGTTATTGAAATATAAACATTTTTATATGTTAACATCATAAATAACTTACGGGCTTCTTATACGTATGCGACGTTTACCTCAGTGTTTATAAACTGCCATGCGTTCTGAATGTCTTCCTTCAATTTCCATACATACTTCGTAACAGAAGATTTCACCGGCAATCAGTTATAACTGTGTAGTCATCAAATATATAGATCCGCAAATGCCGGTTGATGGTAACTGACTGCGGTGAAATCTTTTTATAAAATATGAGATGTACGGAAGTCAAATATAATAAGTATATTCAAAATGCAGTTTGTAAACATCGCATGTGATACTTAAAAGCAGGAAGCAACTTTGAGAAAGTTACTTAATTATAATTTACTTTTTGTTATACAAATTGAATACAATAAGTTTGAATATTTTATTTTTTATATTTTATTATTTGTGTGTGTGTGTGTGTGCGCGCTCCAAATTTGTATTACTGTTTGTACTCAATTTTTGTAACAAACACATATAATGTAACCTGAAAAATAACTTATAAGTAACTTGTAAAATAACTTTCTCAGTCTTGCATAGAAGTCGGAAAATCATTTATGATGCAAAAAATGCTTATATCACAGTAATGGTTGAAGTTTCGACCTATGTTCACTAACACTTTTTTACTCAGTATAGTGTGTACTATCTATCATATAAATGCTGAATAGTTTTTTAACTCTATATAATATAATAGAAAATTTGTAAATAATATTTTATTTATAGCTTACATTCATTATTGGTACCATTAAAAACGAAATTTTAAAATAATGCGTCGAATTAATTCGTTAATCTTGAAAATGATTTTTATTATTATTAATATCTCAGAATATTATTTACATATTGTATTAGGTCATTGTATAATTTCTGTCCATTTCATAATATGTTACATTTCAGAGCTGCATAATTAACGTTTGGGATAGAAAAGTATTCTGTTGATACCATACATTATAATACCAAATTTTTTGGAACCTGTACAGTCTTGCCTTTTTTTAAATTTACATCTTATGCTGTCAAATTTTACTGATATCAAGGATTTTTACTAACTTGTATAAACCGAGATGGTCTTGTCAGCGTTGGCAAATTGGCTTATTTTTTATGAACAAAAGAGACAAACATTATGCAATTATTCAATATAAAACAGCTAAAATAAGGAAAGCTGAGTAAATTGTAATAAAGATTATTCTCGACTTTTATATAGTTGCTTATTCATGGTCTTGCCATTACCGATCTGGCCGATGAAATAGAATTGCTTCACGTCCAATGGTCCGTTATCACGTCAAAGGATAACAAGGGACCGAAGCACTGGAATATCACAATAAAATTCTGTTCTTCTCTTGATCAAAGAAAATTTATTTTGCGGAAATCCGAAAATGGACCGTCGGTTAGCAATTACAGTAATTGGCAAAATAGTCGCCGATTCGAAGCCGCGCGGATGCAATGGTGTTTATATATCGCGGGTCTATTTAGGTGATAGTTAAACTGTTCATTAACCACAAGAGAGTAACGTATTTTTGTGATATTTGTAAGACTATTTAAACGATAGTCTCAAATTTCGCCAAGGATCTGATCTAGCCAAAAGCTGACTACTTTCATCCCAAAATTCTACGAAATTAGGATTTCCGCGAATCGCTTTTATCAAACACTAACGTGTCTAAACAGCTGAGCTCTCCGTCAGAGTACTCAACATACATATTACACCTTTTCTTCTGGAGAAGTTTTATAAAATTTAAGAAAAAAAGAAAGAGAGAAAGAAAGGAATAATTTGGTTTAAAATGTTTTTATATAAACAAATTTTCAAAAAAAGAGTAAATTATAGATAATTACACTGTAACAAATAAAATGTTATATTTTAACTTATAGGTCACATAGTGGACTTTCTGAGACATGTAAAAATGTTAACATTAACATTTTTGTGTTAATTTAACATTTGTGCATGCTCAGAAAGTCCACTATACGACTGTAAGTTAAAATTAATAATATAATAATTAAACGGCTTCATCCACGTACACAAGCTGAGTTTTGTGCAGGATCATACATTAATCCATATTTATTATAATATATAAAACCAAACGTTTCGGTCTGTCATCAGACCATTTTCAATAGTGTGTTACATAGAATTGTTAAAAATTTCTCAATAATTTTGAATTTTTACAACCTGAATCATTCTCGTTGTCATTATACATATCGCTGTCCAATAATTAAATTATCAGTATCAGGTAATGATGCGTCGATTTATTGGAATGATAAAAGATTATCACCAAGGATAATATAATTATTAATCTCACTTATAATGTAAGTAGTTATATAATATTAATTTAAATTAGAATATAAAAGTAAATGTAATTTTGAATTAATAATTCGTTAATAGTTAGAGCAGACTTGCTTTCATGGAGTGCCGAGGATGAAAATTATTTTAACAGATAGGACATACTATATTTTCCATGGTTTTATGCAGTAGACGAATGTTATGATATTTCGAAAATTATATTTTAATTATTGGACAGCGATATGTATAATGACAACGAGAATGATTCAGGTTGTAAAAATTCAAAATTATTGAGAAATTTTTAACAATTCTATGTAACACTATTAAAAATGGTCTGATGACAGACCGAAACGTTTGGTTTTATATATTATAATAAATATGGATTAATGTATGATCCTGCACAAAACTCAGCTTGTGTACGTGGATGAAGCCGTTTAATTATTATATTGTTTGTATTGATCCACGGTCGATAAGTATTCTTGTTGTTAAAATTAATATTTTACTTTTTACAGTGTACATAATAGCATTGTAAAAAAAATTTTCTTATAAATTAAAAAAATTATCAAGCTTTTATGTCTCTCGAAGAAAATTAATTTTGGATTTATAATTTAATATATTTTTATTACAGAAAATTAAATCTATTATATTTATTTATAGTATGCAAAAGATAAATTTTGTGTTTTACCTTATCGTAATAGCTGTCCTTGTCTTCTGTCTAACACTCCACAAATAACACTGATAAAATAATATTTCATGTATTATACATGCAACAGAGTGTAGTATATCGCAAGCATGTTAAACTTTTTCTCACTCTTTATATCTGATGCAGACCTGTCTAACACTTTGCTCGTGAGTCGAAAACGCTTCCTCCACTCCGTCATCTCAGTAAAACGAGACGGAGCGAAAATAACAAATAACGAAGGATAGGCGCCAAGGCTCCGCCTGAATTCAGGTCTGTACGAGATTCATAGAATAAAAATTCATAAAATGTTTTGTAGACAGTTATTTAAGCATACAATCATCCCAGGAAAAAATGTTTTATATATAATTTTATGTAATTGTGTACATATAGATACATTTTATATACAATTATATATAATTATGTAAATAGTTAAGTACAATTATATGTATATAAAATTATATATAACTATGTAGAATTAATAATGTAATTTAACAATATATAATTATTTACAATTGTATATAAAATACATTTTTTCTCGGGACAGTTTATTTGCACAATTTTTTAAAAATATTAAAATAATTTAAGTATTAAAAGGCTTTTGGGCTAACGCTTGTTGCCTTATGCGGAAATAAATATACAATCACATAAAATAAAAATTACAATAAAATCTATTAAAAAATTTTGACCTTTAATCTGGTCATCATAGGTTGTTGTGAAAATTACATGATGATTAAATTAAAGGTGGAAACGTTTGTGATTAAATTTTATTGTAATTTTTGGGTGTCACTGCTGAGCATAATAAACATAATAAAAAACAGCTACAATAATTGTATATTGAGAAATGGGTTCTCCCTTGACTCCTTTATTCTATGAATCTCGGACAGACCTGAATTCAGGCGGAGCCTTGGCGCCTATCCTTCGTTATTTTCGCTCCGTCTCGCTCTACTGAGATGACGGAGAGGGGGAAGCGTTTTCGACTCACGAGCAAAGGGTTGGAAACAGTTGGAAAGGCCTGACCTAGGCCCAGTTCCATAACTCACGGTTAACTCTTAACCGAGGTTCAACTTATTCATTGTCTCTTTCCAATTCTCGAATTGGAAAGAGATGAGAAACAAATTGAACTTCGGTTAATGCTCAATTTCTTCACTTCCGGATAAGTTGCGGATAACCTTATCCAGGAGATATCTCCATTGTACTCTGGGAGATATCTCTTGGATAAAGTTATCTAGAGGTGAAGAAATTGGGTATAAGAGTTAACCGTGAGTAGTGGAACTGGACCTTAAAGAATAATTAATGTAATCGGAATTTTTTCATATGTTTATATAAACAATAGAGCTGTGCGCCGCCGCGCCACGCCGCCGCCGCCGAACATTTTGATAGTCATGCCGCGGCCCGCGGCGTGCGAAATGCGAATCGTGCCGGCGATAATCATTTTATTTAGCAAACATGCACACTTTACAAATATTTTAGACTTCTGGAGAAATAGGAAACATGATGCTTACGTTATATAAAGTGGCAAAAAAAGTATTATGTATTCCCGATGCAACATCAATGCCATGTGAACGGGTATTTTCCATTGCTGGCTTGTTATTAAACAACAAAAAAGTCAAGTGTATGTCCAAGTACAGTCAACAATGTGATATTTATTCATGATAACTACGAACTGATATTTTATCCAATAGGCTTCATCTATGATCATGTCATATATGAAGTCTTTGATGTCGAAATATTGAAAACCGTTAATGTAACAAATACGGTTAGGATCCTCGACAAATTTTCTATCGATTAGTATTATTCAGTTTAAAAATAGCGGAAAAAGAGAATATTATGCGTAGAGAAACATTATAATTATAATTATAAAAGAATAAAAAACAATTACTTACTTTTTCATTGTACACTGTCGTTTGTACACTCAATCCAATTTGACTCCTATATTTATCCGCGCTAAACACCGCCATAGATTCTTCGAGAATCAATTTTGCCAACTATACATTATATTCTCTATACACGTCTATGCGATGTACAAAAAACGTTACATATTTTTTGTGACCTTGCGACCAAAATAGCACGTTTCTGTTACGTATAGTGCAGGCGGGGATAGTATTTGTTTACATAGTTCGTAGTTATCATGAATAAATATCACATTGTTAACTGTACTTGGACATACGCTTGACCTTTTTGTCGTTTATTAACAAGCCAGCAATAGAAAATACCCGTTCACTCGGCATTGATGTTGCATCAGGAATACATAATACCGCACTAGACCGTATTATTAGTTTTGCCTCATTATAGCCCAGTTGTTCCATCTTTTGGCAAATTTTACCTGTTGGATAAGAAGCAAGATTACCCAATCACATTCGCGGATTGCCAGATTTATGTAACAGATAAAATATATCAAAAGATGGAACAACCGGTGCTATATCAAGTATTTTATTTTCTTTACTTATTTTTTTGCTTCAAATAAGTTTGTTATTTTAATAGTAGGGGAAGAGAAAGAAATTAGCAAAACATAAACGTTATTATTATGTAAATTTTTATTTTTTACAGCAAATATATAAGTCTTAAAATAGAATTATTACAGATTAATAACTTACGTTACGAGGTATGTTATATTTTATTCTAGCACATTTTGATATGAAATATAAAATATTTCGTAAACTTTTATTTTTTGGTAACTATATCTTAATATTTTTATGTATAAGTAATGAAATAAATCAATTGACGTAAAAAAAAGCATATAATAGGGAAAGAAAAATATATACTTTGTTTAAATTATAAAAATCTAAATATATTATATATATAAAATATTCTATAAAACATATTTTAATACATTTAATATTAATAACGCTACCGAAGGAAAACTTGAAACATAATAGTAGTTTCTTCTTTCTGTAAATTTTTTAAAATAAATTTTTGAAAGTTTGATGAAATATAACTACAAGATTTTTCTATATACTTATTATTATTATTCTGGTACGACGCCAGTATCAAAGAAATCTTTTACAGCCATTTGTGCATTTTCGGGTAAAATTCTGAAAACAAAATTATATTGCTTTATTTATTTTAATTATATGTTAATGTAGAATATTAAAAATTACAAAATGCGATGTTACGTTCTAATTTATTTTTTTGTGCATTTGTATATTATATAAAATTTTGTCGTGTGTGTGTAAGCATATAAATATTATATAATATACTATGCAAATACTATGATATACTGATTATTGCAAAATACTAATTGTAAAAGGATTAGTACATAATTATATGTATGTAAATATTGCAATTACCTGCCAAATCTTATCAATGGTAACCAAAATGATGGTATAGATCTTATACTTATATTTTGTCGTTGAGCTTTAATTATTTGTGTAGCTGCATCTTTAGGTGAGCTTAGTTGTAAAAACATTTCCAACCTACAATTAGATAGAAATGCTTATTCTTATCTTAAATCTTAATACTCCAGCTTGTCATATTTGCATACGTGATTACATTTATATTATCTGTTTAAATTAATTATATTAATTTTTTCTATAAAACGTACATTTTATTAATTTTTGGCTTTTTGCAAAGTCCCGTATCTACCATATAAGGACAGATAGTAGTGAATTTGATTAAAGATTTTCCCTCATTAGATACATGTAATTCGGTCTCAAGCGCATCCATCATACCTGAAAATAGAATCTTATACGTAAGCTGGAAACACTTGAATGTTTGTGAAGTTAAATTATTTATTTTTCGTAAGTTCTAAATGTAGTATAAAAAAAGAATAGATATTATGAAGTAGGACTGCGTTCAGGAATTACGCCTAGATAACTTTAGGGTGCATTTTTGCTATAATATACGTAACGTAACTTATAGCTTAGAGTTATCTGGATGTAATTCCTAACGCAGCCCTGTGGTCGGAATTCGGAATTAGTTGCTCATTTCGAGCCGATTCCCGAAGCGACGCCCATTGTTACCCCATTATCGCTCGCCATTTGACGGTCGAGCGGCCGATCACGCGGCACTATACGTTTGATAGTTATATGCGATAGTGCAACGTTTCATAATACTACATATAAAAATACAAGCCAAGTATAATAATGTACTTGTGAATATTACTTCCTTCTTTTTAGTATAACATCTGTGTTTAATTAACTGTTTTGTATTAGAATATTTTACTCTCGAGTCGTATATATTTTATCTTCTTCGATATTTTTTTAATGGAATAACTCTATGATAAAAGAATTAATGTTGAAACAATTCGGTCACAATGTCAATGCAATTAATCAATTCATTCTCTAGTCGAGATCTCGAATCAATTTCTGACATGAAGGAGAGATACAAGGTTTTTATTTTTATTTTAGACCGTATATGTGAGAAACACAATTAATACTAGAAATTTAAACGCCTATTACGGTCGAAGCTGGATCTTCGTTGCTTTAAATAATTCAATCTTGAATTACTAATATATACTATATATGTACTTGCATATATACTATATTGTAGTCTTTTTCCAATTGCGCGCCGAATTGTTTTTCCGGACTAAATAAACGCAATTAAAACTACTCTAGTAATCGCCAATTAAATTGACAAGCAATTTAATAATTTAATGCTACCATCAAGCATCATATATTATAAAGATGTTAATATATTAAAATTGTTAATAAATTTATTGCGAAAAATATTACCTCGGTCGGGACTTGAAGAGATACAAGGCTTTATACACTAAAGGCTGGTATTCATAGTCAGTTCTTATATTCAAGATCGTCTTAAGTACGGTCTTAAGAAGTCACAAACCAATCAGAGGACCCCATTAGCATCTTAAGACCGTACTTAAGATAATCTTGAAATAAGATCGGACTATGAATGCCTCTGTAAGTATAAGCATATTCAAGCCTATGACGGTCAAAGCTAGATCTTTTTTGCCTAAATAATTCTCAGTGAATTATCTATATTCTATATATGTACATGCATATATGTCATATTTTTGTAGTTATTCAAACTGCGCACCGAAATTTTTCCGGACTTTATCTAATGCAATTAAACTACTGCAATAATATCACAAGTTAAATTAAATTGACAATGTGCTGAAAACCTTAAATAAATTTATTGCGAA